ACAACATTTCCGGGATACGTACCACGCCTGAGTAAACATAAGTACGAACCCCTGAGATTTTTTAATGTGCACCTAGGTTCCTTAACACGGACCTTTATCGCTTCGCCTCCATCGAAGCTCAGCAGCCGGGTATGAGATCCCATCCCATGACCTTGGAATGGGCAGTCGAGCAGAATAACCACAGCAGTTTTCTTTCTTTCAAGCACACATCACAGAGCTTTTGTCTCTCGCCGCACTTGGATGTAGCCTCGGAGGCTGCCAAACAAACAACGGCGCTAGATCGAGCGCCAGTTTCCTGTTGGCTTGCAGGGCGAATGGCAGCGGATCAAGGTTAAAAAGCGAGCACGACCCTGGCGAGTCGCTCACAGCCACGGTCCACTTTTGTCACGTGGAAAGGCGACTGTACCTTGATCGTGAGCACTCGACGATTTCGCGAGCAATGCCAACGTGTTTTTACACAGTCCTGCTTGTCTGTCAGTATGAAGATGGATTTAGACAATCTGTAGATAGATAGATAGATAGATAGATAGATAGATAGATAGATAGATAGATAGATAGATAGATAGATGCCTCAGCTTCACTCTTAAAACGCGATGCTGTGATCGGGCCCCGTGCAAATCGCCTATTCAATAGCCACCTTGGGTTCGCTCCTGGGTAACAGTGTTCTGCGAGGATACGAACGTTTATGAGGGCAACTTTGGACGCTGCAAGCTGTGCTATCGATAACAATCAATTACGCCTGAGCGGTTTGTAAAGGCTGAGGCTTTCAACCAGCCACTTTTCGAGAAATTCACATGTTTTAACATGTACTGCGATTCTATATATATATACTTTTTTACGCGCAATATTTGATTCTTTTCACTGCGTGACATTCGTAAAAGTTTACGAAGATGTGGGTTTATCAAGGTGTGCGTTTAACAAGGTGTGGTATTCAATGATTCATTACTTCATGCGCGAACTTTTCAGACATTGCCCGTGTTTCGTTCATTGTCTGAAAAACTGTGCATTGTAAACATTTTATTTCTTTTTTTTTGTCCCCGACATTTTTAAACACTGGCTTGGCTCGGTGATAGAACACACGCTTGCCACACGTAAGGCCTCGGTATTGTTCCAGCTCGAACCCAAGACCTTTATTGTTTATTTGTCTACATATATATCTCGACTTTTGCTATCACCAACATTGAACATTCTGCGAAACGAGCTATTTAATACGATCGCGTTATGAAAGTTGACTTATGAATTCTGAGTGAAGGCGGCTGCGTTTTGATGGGTCTATAATGATTCTTAGGGTTTAACATCTCGAAACCACGACATGATTATGAGTGATGCTTTAGTGCAGGGCTCCGAAAATTGCGACCACCTGTTTAATTTTTTTTATATAACGTGCACCCGAATCAAAGCGCACGGGCCTCAAACATTTTCATTTGTATGAAAATGTGGTCAGCACGCCGAGGACTCCATCCCACGACTTTCAGGTTCACAGCAGTAACTACTAAGCTACCGGGTTGGGTTGCCTTCTGATTGGTCATAATGCTAAGGAACTTCTTCGCATAAAATCAAACGCGAGGCTTCCATTCCACCTTGTAGTTCTGGTGCACGTGTCGTCTTTGTCATCACTTTTTTTGCGGCAGTAACTGCGGCGTGATGTTATCCGCACTTTTCAATCTGTGCTCGCGTTAAGCGATGCCCTTCAGTGGCGGCGGTATGATGGCTGACGTCACACAAAGGCGGTGAACCCTCGCGCCCTTGGTCTCGCTTCGTTCAGTCTTCGTTCCATCGCTGCTAACGTATGTGCACACCTCACTCATTGACTAGCCTTCCGTACAGCCGTACCTGAGTGGGCCGCCGATAACGCTTTCGAGCCGTTCCACATAATGCATCTAAACAGCAAAAAAGATGCTCTCGAATCGTCACTGCCTGCGTTTTGCTGTGCGATACGTACACTTTCAAGACGGTGTGCAATGAGTTCATGGCTCATCGTTGGCACAATCCGCGTTCCGGGGATGTTCTTAGACACATAACTTTTCTCTTTTTCCGTGTTTCTGTCAGTTTTTCGGGCAGTATATTATGGACAAATGACTGATTTTCATATATGAGCCATTCGCATCTTTAAAAGAATGTTCATGGCTTCCACTTCATGATATTAGTGTTTAGGTCTGTGAAAACAACTTCTTCATAGGATTTAAAAGTGTTAAGGACACGGTCACAGCTTATTTATTCTTAAGGTGTAAAGGTTCTGAAGACACAGTCAGATCTGACTGACTTGGGATGTACTAGCGCGAAAAGTAACGGAGGACAATTGGCAACGAAGCAGATAGGACGAGCACTAAAATTCAACAGCCCAATATACCTTTGTAAGAAAAAAAAGAAAGCAGGGACATAAAATCCGTAAGATATAATCCTGGCACACCCAACGATGGATGCGCTGTCGCGCAAGCAGGCTGCGCCATATGTGCCATCTTGAATTTTTGATCAGCAAATTTGTTCTTGGTCGAGGCTATCCTTTCCAGGTACCGTCGTAGATCGTGGTGAGATGTGTCTACCGAAAGCGGGTAAATCCCGATATGGATATCTGCCACTCCTTCCACCACTCCACTCCACTTCATTCAACGCCACCAGGTTCGTTGTTTCATCATGGTCCACCAAGCAGAGCTGGCTGAAACATTTTTGTCCATTTTGTTTGGCCTACGGTGTCTATACACGGATGCAGACATCACCCTCACCCTCAGCCACGCTTCTGCATGAGCTACAGGTAAATCTTCTCGCTGTAACGCCCAAATCTTCCCAAGCCACTTTCCTGGCTACGCCGCTGAGGATTCTAGACAGTCGCTGACTTCAGCAGCTGAAGACTGATAAGCTACATATTTATTCCCAGACAAACGACGCACCTGATTCACAAGTGCATCCGAGATACACACAAAACAATGTATATGCTGAACAACAAATATAAGCCCATCAAAAGTCGGTGTGAACGGCCAGAACGAGATGCGCTCGCGGTACTTTCGCAATAGTTAGGTGGCTCGGTGTTTGCTAAACGTGGCGTAGCAGCACCAAACTCAGAAGTGAAAGCATAACCTTGCCAAATTAAGCAATGATCTTATAAAAAAACAGCTAGCGTACAAGACGGAGTACGTTACAGAAAGGCACATGCACGCAGAGCAATATGCGCTTGCAACTCGATTGGAGCAGTCTTTTTTATTGTGGTCAGTTCTGTGGAATATCGCAAGGTATACAGGAAAGGTTGGGAAAGGGAACTTGACATGCACCCGTTTGTAGCGCAAAACTGCGAGAATATTCATGCGTGTTTCTCAAAAAGAAAGCTTCTTAGTCAACGGAAAAATTTGTCGTCGTCCGGGGATTCAACCCTTTATGGCAGGGGCTCCGGAAATGAGGGGGGGGGGGCAGTGGGGGGCGTCGCCGACACAGGTTAGAAACCAGGGGGGTTATACCCCCTCCCCCTCCTATCAGAAGCTACGAGCGAAAACAGAGATATGTATTACCGTTCCTATATCCCTGTTCGACAACATGGCCCCCACATTTCAGACATACTTCCGGAGCCCCTGCTTTACGGGGTTGTTGCTTTATCAGTTGAGCTAAGCGAAGTTTGGTGATGGTCCCGGAACACATTTTCGGTTTTGATCAATAAGGGTTTTCTTGTGGCTTCTTGCTACAAACGGGTAGTTGTCTATTTTTCGCTTTTTTTGGTCATTTTCCTTGTTTCATTGACACATGTTTTTTCATATGAGCATGTCACATTCAAGTTTTAGCGGATGAGACAAGTGTGCATCTATTTACGAAGAGGATCGATGCAGCAATACAAAGCTGGGGCCAACACTGTTTCGTACATAAATAATAACGAAAATATTGCCACAGGTACACGCTAAGAAAAAAAAAGTGTGTGACTTTGTTTTGGTAGTGCTGACATAATATGTTTGTTAAAAGCAGATTGACGGAAAGATGGAAGCCTGAAGAGAGAAAAAATTAATGAACATGAAGTGTGGCTCGAGCCGACGTTTTCTCTACGGCAGCCTTGACATGGTCAACTCCAGGGCTAACGAAGATTTTGCTTCTCTTTGCTGAAACACGCAATCTTTCGGCTTTTATGACTCTTTGAAGGGGGTATAACGATCTAAAAAAGAGAGTTCGTGGGCCTCCTTAGGAAAATGCCCAAAAATGGCAAATCAGGGCACGATAAAAAAATAATAACTCTGTTTCTCAGAATACTAATGGAGTTCTGGTGTGACAGTTACTCAAGCGTGAGAATTAGGGGGACGTTGTATCGTACGATACGCCGCCGTTATGGCTTCTAATGACTTTGGGACATTGAACGACATATCGCGCTCCAATAGCAACGATTTGCACTATTGCACCTCCGCGAACGCTCTACAATGAGTCATCAACGAGTGGTCAGTGGTATCCAGCCCGAAGATTTCTGCGAACGAGTGACCGGCTTGTGGTCAGCATGGCGCAATCCGTCGCAATAGACACGACTGGTAAGGTCCGTCACGTGCTTTCAACAATGGCTCCCCCCCCCCCTTCAATAACGTGGGACATGCATGCCCAGAAGTGAAGGCTCAGAGTGGCTGTGTAATAGAGGCCAAAGGAGGGGAGGGGCGTAAGTTGGGGTAGGGGCAGAAGGGGGAGGGGAGGTGGACACGACGTCTTTCAAAGCTCATCTGTATCGACAGTCTCTTGAGCAGGTGCGTGAGCTAAAATGCAGCGAAAAAAAAAAAGAGGCCGATAAGGCTTATCAGACGCTGTGAGCAGAAGCAACCGATGTCCATCGGAGAGACCTCGATCCTGTCAAACGGTTCTCTCTCTCTTTCGCATGCGGATGATGACACCGGTTTGCACCGGTCTGTCAGAGATAGTAACGGGAACCATCGAGAGCCTCGTTCTTGTGCAACCCTCGTTCCCAGCTGTGACTCAGCTCAAAAAAGGGAGAAGAGAGATAGAGAGGGAAAGGAAAGCGTGGTCACCATAAGAGGCTCGAAGCTCCCTGGGGCACGCAGACATCCCACAGCTTCGACGCCGCGAGTATACCGTGACAGACATACGAAGCCGGACCCGCTCGCCGCTACCCGTCGAACGCCACGGAGTGTCCTGATTCACCCGTAGCAGTCCCTTCCACGTGTACAAAGCGTATCCTTTCTGTCCGTTTCCTGGTCACGCACGTGAATGACCCATACAGTCCCCAAGCAACAGTGGGAAGCTTCTGGTCAAAGCTGGGCGCCCGGCGTCACCTGCGCGCTGCTTCCGAGGCGCTGACACTCTGAACCGGGGCCCGCCACCAAGCCTGCTGCCCGACAGCGGTTCAGGTCAACGGCTCTGGTTCGTTTGAAGAAAAGCAACGCTATCACCTGATCTGCGAGAAAAAAGAAAGCAAAAAGGCAGCTCGCCCACCTCCACGAGATCCACCTCTGCGACAGGAAGGACGCGCTGCGGCAAAGCGCCCGGTGAGTGGTGATCGCCTCGTGGTTTTACCGTCTTCGTCCTCGTTATGACAGTAGGGGACGTAAAACTGTTACGCTTGTTGTTACGGTCTTTGCTGCGCCTTTTCCGCATAGATCTTTGTATTTCCGACTGCAGAAGCAACCTACTCACAATGATGGTCTAGTCGTCATGGTGCTCGACCTAAGGTGGTGGGATCGAATCCCCGTTGAGGCGGCCGCATTTTCGATGAAGGTGACAGGGCCTGAGGCCAGTGAACTTAGATTTGGGTGCACGTTAAAAAAACACCAGGTGGTAGAAATTTCCGGAGCTCTCCACTACGGTGTGTTTCGTGTTTCATATCGTGTTTTCGGGATGCAAAATCCCAGATATAACTGTTAAAGATGCAGTAAAACGCAAGGCACTTGTTCTAGTTCGTTACGTTCCTGTGCGCTTGCGGCTCCATTTTTGTGCTGTACTTACAAAAACTCACAGGCTCCATTGTGCATTCACCCGCTCGAAAGTGAAAAACCATCTTTTTTTGTTTTTTTAGAGCAGGGAGGTATGAGCTGTGACATCACGTGCCACTGGCAAACGCGGTCTTCAATTTCTTCGATTTCTAACGTAACACGAAGTCACGCCAGAAATCGTGACGCCATGATTACCTCACAAATTTTTGTGACATCTGAAATCATAATAATTTCATACGGTGACATCATCATGGGATGATTTTTGTCATCATTCATTCAAAACGGCGCGTGTAGGGTCCCCACTGGGGGTCGTATTTCCAGTTTGATAATGCATTTAAGGCTGTCCCATTAATAGCGGTATTTAACGATCATGCATGCTGGCATTTTAACGACACAATTGCAGAGACCAGCGGAGTGGACCTTGAAGCGTCCTTCGACACTGTGCTTTAGCCACCATATAGGGTCACTCATGTGGTCTGCCCCGAGTGCTTCGTTATCGCGGGGGCGCACTCGAACGTTAACCTGCGTACTCCACAACTGCGACTCGTTCTACTCATTGACAAGATAACGACCCGCCAGTGGGGCGGCGGCCAAGGTTCATTGACCAGTCGTCAAGGGAGCATCAGTCGCAGCGCTTGAGGATCGTGTAACAAATACAATATTGTCGCCATGACAATCATAGAAGCAATGTTAGGCTTCATTATCGCTTCGGGTACAAAGTAAAACTCGCCACGCTGGTCTAGTAGTTAGGATGCTCGAGTGCTGGCCCGAACGTCGCAGGATCGAGTGCCAGCCCATGCGGCCGCATTTTAGACGGAGTGAAAGAAACCCGTGTGCTTAGATCTGGTGGTCAAAAAAAATTTTGGAGCCCTCCACTATAGGGGTGCGCTGCATCATGGCGTCGTGGTTTTTGGACGTTAATTAGGATTACAAGCTAAGAATGAATGAAGGCTCCATTTTTCTCTAGATGGTCAGAGCAGATTTCCACAACATGACGAATTCGTAAGCAGGGTGTGGGTGGTGAAGCCGACGCTTCGACAAGCATACTTGTCATCATGTAAAATGGCAGTTGATTATTTACGTTACGTCAAGCTTGAACCTCAAATTTCAAGTAGCTGACTTACCCATCAGGCATGTGCTCATGTTAATAGATTTTGGCCGAACACTTGATCTTCCTGGCAGACTTGAGCAAAGATTTACGACTCCGTGACTTAGCCAAAGGTCTCGTTTCAACACGGGACGACGAACATTTATTTCATGCTCGGCAATTGCTAAGCACGACTCTCTCGGGCACAGATAAATGGAAGGTGTGCCGTAGGCAGAGCTTGTGTGAATACTTGGGTTATGAGAGACTAGTCAGCACTAAGCAACATGAGTTGAAGGTAGTTTTCCTCCACACTTGCTACTTTTACAGAAAAGATGTTTGCTTCCAGCCCATGGGCGCTAGGAAAGGGGGCTACTTCTCGCGACTCACATCCGTATCGTCGACTGGAATGGAGGCTGGCAGATCTGAAGAAAAAAGAGTGCTTTGAGCCACGCTAAACACCAGTGCCCGTTTATTTCTCAGAAAGCAAGAAGGTTCTTTTCGAACAGGGTCACAAATCGGCAAGGACGTCTGGTTTGACTAAGCAAAAGAGTGTTCACTTTACTATCAAATAGATCCGTTTCACCTAATCAAAATATCGATGAACCATTTGACACACTACTGCCCCGTCTACGATTTGGTGCTGCATACACACCTCAATTATTATGCCGCATAAAAAGAAGGACGTTCCCGCACTGCGATCATGTCGATGCGTCAGAGGAGCATATCCTTATATAATGAACAACGCACTCAACTGCCTTGACAGACGACCATTAAGATTGGCCAAGCACTTGGACCATGGATACATTGTAATAATCAAATACGCGCAGTGAACGCCCCTCGGTATTTTTTTTTATTGGACACAAGTTTAATGAACTGTCCTCAGTTGTTATTGCTCCTTGCCCTTATCTGTACGGACTCTATCCGCGATGTGATCACGCTATATAAACTGCACTATGCCCATATGTACTGTGCTCGTTCATGCATTATAAGCCCTATAAGGTATATACGTACGTAGTGCCTCTGATTATCTTTTTTCTTCTTTTATTGTTAATTTTTAGTATTTTTTGTTTATCTCGTACATTACTATCAGGATGTTGGTATAGCCAGCTCTTACGTATCCTACCTTCCCATATTTTCTCAAATATAAATAAAAAAAGAAAAAGTGTTGCAGCGGCGCTTTCCTCGGCGTTTTTTGTGCAATGAATATACACTCGCCAAGGTAGAAATAAAACCAAGCATTGACGTTTCAGGCCCCGTACGGGTCCCTCGTTCACAATGAAGATGTTAGCATGAGCGTGCGGCTATTTATGGGTCAGGTGGTGCAGAGTGCGGGTGTATATCTCGGGCAGATTTCCCTTCGTCCTGCTTATCTTGTGACTAGTCGACTGAATTTAAAATGAGTCTAAAAGCAGACGGGCAGATAAATGTCTTTCCATTGCTATGATATCTGCTGCGTCCCAGTCTTTTTTTCTATCTTGGCGAGTTTATTGCACAAGTATGATTCCTCGCCAGGCGATTGCTCGTCGAATCAACCCTTGATTATTTCCTCTGCGTTGTGTGGTAGCGCTTCTGCAGTGTGACGTAGACATACAAGGAAAAAAAAAAGAAAGAGAAAACGAGAAGGCAGCGTCACAGGAAAATTTTGAAGTCCAGCCACTAAAATAAAAAAGAAAATGGAATGTGCTGGATATTGTGCCCGTATACGGAGTACGAAGCCGGAAAAAAGCGCGGGGGGGGGGGGGGGGAATGAAACAGCAGCATTGTGGGAAGTGTGACACATACACGACGAGCAAGGGGCTTCGGAGAAGGTTGCCTTTTGGACATGTTCTCCCCCCCCCCCCTTTTTTTTTTCTGCCTCCATGTACGTGACGTATAGATCACTGCGAGGAACAGGGATGATGATGATATGTGGGGTTTAACGTCCCAAAACCACTATATAATTATGAGAGACGCCGTAGTGGAGGACTCCGGAAATTTAGAGAGGAACAGGGAGATGAACACATTTTAACACAGCACTCCACTACGCGGACACATGAGGAGAAGGGGCAAACCGCAGCGCTTCTTCTCTTGAGTCCACGTAGTCGTGCGCTGTGTTAAAATACGTTCGAGTACTGCGACCAAACCTTCTTCACTGGGACTAACTGGCCTGGCTTTCAGTCTTTCAACCGGGAGATGACGCTAACACTGGACGAATGACAGGAGAGCAGCAACGCGAACACTGAAGGCGAAAACGGGCTCATCCACGAGCGCAGAATGCTTACAAAGGCCACGTGCGCATTCGTCTCTGGTTTCTCACGTCGAAAAAAACGAGCGGAGAGTCGTCTACGTACAGCAGGAAGACGTATGCAAGCTTCGTTGATAATGCGTCTTCCGAGTGAATATATTGTCCGTAATAATCTTACCAGCAGAGCGTTGGTCCAGGACCCGAAAGCAAAAGTGATCATCATCGTTTGCGCGGCGCTGCGCATCTTACACGTGAACCGCCGCGCTTTGTTTTCACCCTCTTCACCTTCGTCCTCTTCTGCTTCGCTAACACAACACGCGTGCTGATTTCTCTGGCGTGATCGGTAATAGCCGTGACGGGTGAGGGAACCAGTAAGTAGAAGGAGAGATGAAGAGAAATGCAGATATTCGTGGAGGCGAAAATACTTCGCGAGGTGGGTTTGAACCCGCGTGCCCACAATTAAGGGGCGAGCGTCTTGAATATGCAGGCAATGCTAGCAGAGAATAGCGTAGTTTTGTATAGTATCGCATAACAAGAGGGTGGGAAAGGGAGTTGAGGCGGAGGAAGGGTGAGAGTAAGGAAAATAAATAGAAATGAGAAATGGGGATATAGAAATGCAGAAAGAGAATAAAAAATAAAGAAATAGAGGGAGATAGAAAAACACGAAGAAAGAGGAATAAAGGTAAAAGATACGAAGAAAGGGAGAAGGCGAAAGATACTTTGAGTGAGAAAGATAAAGGGGGTGAAAGAACAATAAGTAAGCTAAGGAGAAACAAAAAAGTCCACCAAGCTCTGCACTTTCTTCAGGCCTAGCCCGCAAAGCTAACTTCTCTTTTTTTCTTTCTTGGGGAAGAAAAATAGAAAGAATAAGCGGCAGACAACCTTCAACCACTTGGATATCTTTAACGTGCACTTCAAACGAAGTGTTTACACGGCCCTCTAGAGTTTCATCTCCACTGAAATACTGCCGCCGGGACTCGATCCCACGACCTGCAGGTCAGCAGTCAGGCGCCAGAACCACAAGGCTGCACCACGGCAGGTCGGAACAGTATGCACGCCTTGAAGTCGATGACTACGCGATGTTTTTTCATTCAGCGTTGCGGTTGCGTCACTCAGACACGTGCTTGGCGCAACAGTATCGGCGAGGAATCCCCAGGAGTTGCGGCCTTCGTCGCGCGGTCCCCCAAGCAGAACTGCAAAACGCCAAGTGTGCACTCACACGCTTCTCTAAACGTTTGCGTAAGT